TCTTAGGAAATGACATTTACAAGCCTGCTAATCAATGAATCAAGGTCTCTTTGCTATTTGCTCCTAAGCCTTCCATCCAAAGCCCTGGGTCTTTATCGAGGGCAAGGGTAGTCAGTCCCTCTTCCTTGGAGTTTGCACCCAGCCTGCAGTTAATTGGCTAGTCACTGATAGCCCCCGGGGACGCCTGGCTGATCACGGCAGGGAAGAACTAGCTTCCAGGACTGGAGAAGGAGAAGGCCGCCCAGTGCGGCCTGGAAACTGACAGTGAGCCTTGCCTTCTTTCCGGCCACAGTTGTGAGGGAAACAGAAAAGCAATCCAACCGGATGTGCGCACCCCTACAGTCAGAAGGCTCCGCCCGGATGAAGGTGCCCACCACATTCTCTCCCCAACCTACGCCCAGGCCATGCCAGACCCCCCATCTCTGGGTTGTTCTGCCTTTCTCGGAGGCCAGCCTGCCACAGTCAATCCAGAGCGGATGTCTTCTACGTCTCCTTTAGCAGTGCGTTTAACCTCCGTGACTTACACGGATCGGTTGCCTTCGTTGAGTTCTTTGCAGAAATGTGTAAAAGCGCCTTGGAAACTGACAGGGCACACCCGCCTCCATTCCCCGCCAGAGTTGTGAGAGAAACATAGAAGTAATAAAACTGCACTCCTATGCTTCTAAAGTCAGAAGTATCAGTGTGATTTAAAAACTGGGAAGGAATCCCAAACCTCCTTTCCCTCCCCATAAAAACCAATTTTGGAAGCTCTTCAAAGTGAAGTGAGAATGAAGCATGGAAATATATACCATAACACCTGGAAAGACAAATTTATTGTTGCCAATCTCATTTAACGTGAGAAGCGGGAGTGAAAAGCAGCCTGTCACGGACATGCCTCTCCGCACACCTTCGCAGACTCGCGCTGGGAGGGAGGTGCCCGACTCCTGTCCCGTAGCCAACTGTCTTCCCTTGAGCACAAGCTGAAAGTGCGGTTCACCCTTCCCCGCCCCTAGTGTCTTCTTCCACCTCCTCTGGGTCTTCTCAAGCTCTCACCACCCCAAGTCTGAAGGCCGTGCCAAGAATCTTGGCAATTGTGTAAACTGATACAAAAGGCAGAACAGCCTCTCCTGTCACTTAGGAGGTCCTGACTCACACAGGCCAGGAAATGCAAGGGTCTAGAAGAGGAGGGAGATGCAAGCCATTCCTTCTGCGCTAGTGATAAACCTTCCCCATCTGCTTAATTTTCCCATAGGCCAGGGGTCAGCAGCCACTCCAGCCTTGAGAGCCATCGGCGGCGGGGGCTGGGGGGGGGTGGGGCTTCGTGGTGACAGAGGCGCTACCAGCAAGCTTATGACAGAGGCAGAGATGGAGCAGGAAGCTGAAAAAAAGACAAGCGTAGGAGAGCAAGAAGGAAGGAGAAAGTGGTAGAGAGAGGCAGAAAGCATCAACCTTACCCTTGCTCTCTTTCCCTGGCTCCTCTATTCCCACTTGCTTAGAGCTATTTTAAAAACAGTATAAAGCTTTAGGCAAGCTGAAGTTTTCCTTGTGTTAATATCCATATCATTATTAGTACTCACATTAAATTAGTTAATATTGGTAGAACACTTAGAAGAATGCCCATGATAAACAGGGGGCTTCCCCGGAGGCTCAGTAGTAAAGAATCCGGTGCAATGAAGGAGACCCAGGAGGCGAGGGTTCGATCCCTGGGCTGGGAAGGTCCCCTGGAGGAAGGCATGGCAACCCACTCCAGTATTCTTGCCTGGAGAATCCCATGGACAGAGGAGCCTGGCGGGCTACAGTCCACAGGGTCACACACAGTTGGACGCGACTGAAGTGAGTTAGCATGCACACATGCACAGTAAACAGAATAAACAGTCAATAAATGTTAGCTATTTCATCATTGCTACAAGCCACTGATTAACTGATTGAGAAATTTAAAACCGAAATCAAGAAAGATGTTTTACTACTTGGCCAGCTAATACTCAGTTGGTTTAATGTATTCCTTTGAATTGACTGGCTCTTCAGGAGTCATGTAGACATAACTTCGGTCTCTCTACCAGGCCCCATCTCTGTTTAAAAATGTAAGGAGAAACCAGGTGTGCGGTTCTCTACTTCACCATCTTCTTCACTTGCTCATTTCAGACTACAGATGTATCTGACTTGATCTTCGGGGGAGAAACATAGATGGGGAAGTCGAGCGGTGAGGACAACAGCAGCTGAAATATCAGCTCGAGGTGCTGGGTTTACCTCTGCTCAGCGCCACCGCCCAGACTGGGAAAGCGACAGCGATAAGACAGTGCCTTTTAAAGCATCTCACTTAAGCACTGACCTCCATGCAGCAAGGTACAGAAGAGAAGGATTATCTCATCTGAAGCTTTTCTTAACCAGTGCCCCAAACTTACTAAGTTAAAAACTAAAGAGAGGCTGAATTAAAAACTCTTCTGTGAACATAAGTGGCGGCGAGGCTGTGTATGTGCGTACATACGCGTAAGTGAAGGGGGCAGCGCGGAAGCCAGCCCCTGCCTCATGTTCAGTGCATTTCCGGAAGGAGTCTAGTTTTTTACCAAAGGAGGAATAAGGCCCAGAATAGTCCAATAACTTGTCTGAAGTCACATGAGAAGTGACAAAACTGCTCCCTGGGCCCCATACTCTTTGCGCTGAAGCAGTCTTAAAATAGACACTGCAGATAAAGGAGAGGTGGCCTGGCTGGAAGTGGATATGATTCACAAAGAGAGGAATATCAGATGTTAATCATATTAAAGGAGGATTTAGATGATGCTAAATGGAGCAGCTTGCTGGGTACCTCTTGATGCCAGCCATCCCCTGTTTGTGTTGTTTTGGCCCTTGTGCTGAGTAGAGGATTAAAACCAACCAGGTGAGGTTTAAACGACCCTAAAAAATCCTAATGGGCACTGTCAGGATTTGTTCTCTCAAGTATGTTACTCAGCAAAAATGCACAAACCATCGCATGAATCTCAGGCAATTCTTTTATGAAGCTTGACGCACACTGCCAAATGAATATTTATCATAATAAACTGTAATTAGTTCACCAGCATACGTTGAATTCTCTTAGCTCAAAGTTGACAGCAATACACTTATCAGAAAGGTGATGGGGAGCTGTGAAGCTTTTAATAAGATTTCTGTAAAACATTTAGCCATCGTCATCGTGTAGGGGACACGGGTTCAATACCTGGTCAGGGAACTAAGATTCCACATGACAAGCAAAATTGCTTAGCCATAGTCATATTCCTCAGCTTTAGGAGAAACCTGCTAGGGTGTTCTGTAGATATAGTAAAGCCTTTATCTTTTACTATAGTAAAGTCTCTGTTATGAGACTTTAAAATAGTGAGGCAGTAAATACAAAAGGGCTTCCCTGGTGGCTCAGATGATAAAGAATCTGCCTGCAATGCGAGAGACCTGAGTTCAACCCCTGAGTTGGGAAGATCCCCTGGAGGAGGGCAAGGCAACCCACTCCAGTATTCTTGCCTGGAGAATTCCCATGGACAGAGGAACCTGGTGGGCTAAAGTGCATGGGGTCACAGAGAGTCGGACACGACTGAGCGACTAAGCATAGCACAAGTACAAGAAGGATCCTCAATTCCAGCATGTTCAGCCAAGGAAAAACTATGCTTATATCCCATTTGACAAGAAAAATACACTGGTCTTGGATAGCAAAGAGAAATGGGTGGCTTGCCATATAAACACTCTAACTTTCAAGGAAAAACCATGACTTTCCCACTGCTAAGCTTCTACAGTCAGTTCTTCCTAAGCTGCCCAAACAGATCTGCTAAAACCACTGGGATATAGGCCCCTACAGAGGAGTGGGCGTGCGGTGGGGCAGCGGGGGCAGTTCGTTATTGATGAGCCCAGACCAAGGTGTCCCTCTCTCCTTCAGCGTTGAAAACTTGGTAGGGACTGGGGTTACCTATCTGTGTAAGGAAAGAATATTAACATAAGGTCCCCACACGAGCAGATGTAGGAGAAAAGTTCTCCTCCTCGATGATACTAAAAGGACCAACTTGGTAAAATCACAGCCTGTCCACACTTGATCATCAGGGGATCAGCCTGCAGAACCCTTGCCACGTTCCCACCTCCACCCACTGTTGCCCCAGCCAGTAAGGCTCAGCAAAATGCCTTTGTGGGTACTGGGAGATTCGCTAGTGTTGTCTCATGAAGAGTCATCACGTTGCAATGAAAAATGCTTGCTGAGGCATCACATCAGCCAGCAAAGAAATGCCTTACTCATAGCCACACATCTCTTATTTTTGCATAGATACTGCTTTCTGGGAATCATCACTACTGTTTCATAGGTACCTAGAATATGTAGGTTGTAGACATACAGAAGTGTGTATAAGACCTTATGAATGGAGAGCAGTATGCTTCTGAAGCTACATGTATGCAAAATGAACATATGAGGGTGTCCTCCCAAAAGGACAACAGCAGAAACAGACAAACAAGGATGTTGATGGAGCTCTTATAATAGGTACTTAGTAAATTCTCACACCATTTCTCCCAGAAAGGAAATGAATGCTGACGAAAGTTAGAAACCATGGAATCACTCCCCAGTCAATCCTTCTGGATTTTTTAAGAGGTAATTTTTGAAGCTACCACTGAACAGAGCATCCTATGTCAGGTATATACACGAGCCGGAACCTAAAAGCACAAAACACCTCTTGGGGTAGAGGCCTCTTTTCTGGAAAGGGATCATTCTCTGTGTGTTCCTTGCTGCCATTTTCTTTGGATTGTCCACTTCCCTCTTGTGTGGCCACACGCATCTCCCATGCCAGCAGCAGAGGTCGGGGACGGGAAAGGAAGCAGAAGTGGGTCAGCTCCCAGGACTCTGACAGGACCCATGGGGGAGCTCTTCATAGCCACTCTACCTCTTGCCCTACTGGTGGACACTTGTGTGAGATACCAAGGCGAAAAAAAAAAAAAGGACAGATTCGGGACATTTCTAAAGAAAATTTAAAAATTTTTTTTTAAAAAGGGGGAATGACCAAAAAATAAAGATGAGTTCCTAC